CTTCAAATGAACAAAAAACAAAATATATATTAGCTTTAGTTTACTAATTAAATATAATTTAAAAATTTATAACAAATATTCATTATTGTAATATTAAATAATTTTATAATAAATTACTTACTTCAATGAGACTCTCAATATTTTTATTGTCCATCTTACTATAGATTTCCAACAAAGATGATCACTCCATGCATGTTCTCCAACCTCACTTATAACTGCCACCATAAGTTATTAATATCACTAGAAAACACAATTTTACACAGCCGAGTAGTAGCCTTGAGCCGAGTAGTAGCCTTGAGCCGAGTATGAATGTGTTGTGTTGTGTCGATGATTGTGGCAATTGGAACACGATTTGTGTCGCCGTGTGTACAAAAGTGTCCAGTAATTTTACAATTGGAAAGCACCCATTGTTACAAATTGTACAAGGTACGACCGCTACTTACCATCGCTGGACTTGTTCCGTGTGTGGGAGACCTGAAATGAAAAATGACATTGTTACTAATTGTACAAGGTACAATCCGTTGCGCGAGATGACGGACGCTCCTCTCGATCGGGGCGGGCGATCCGTACGGGGATGACTGCAGTTGGTCGACCGATCCTCGCGCCGTTCGATCGCTCGGTTCCATCATTCGGACAATTTTTATCTAGTATTATTTTATTCCGATATGTACTTGTGAGACCGAGCAACATATTTTTCCCCTCTCATTGGGCACTACTCCAAGTAGCAAGGTGACATCGTTTCACGCCATCGCCTTGCAACTTGGGACCTTGACGTGGTAGAGGGGCTCAGCCGAAGCCGCCGAAGGCTTTGGTTGCTAAAGGTGCCCAAGTCCCGGGGATCGATGCCTCGGGCTGCACATACCGTAATCCCCGAGATCTCATCGCCGAGATCTCGGGGACCGGGGAACCTTGGCTTAACCGCCCGGGTTCGCGGGGTTGTAGACCTCTCAAAAAAACTACACGCAGCAAGTACCGGGGGGGAGAAACCTCCTCTCCGGGCTGCACATACCGTAATCC